AACATACCAGTGCCGGACAGCCAACACAATGAGGACATACGCGAGTCTGACGATGCAAATCGTGACGACAGCCCTAATTATCCTGAAACGGGAGGACATCCACAAGCAAACTTGCAGTCGTACCAAATGGCTGGACGCCTACGACTACGTGGTGGTGGGCTCAGGATCTGCCGGCGCAGCAGTCGCCTACCGGCTCACCGAAGACCCCAACGTAATGGTGCTGTTGCTGGAGGCGGGCGGACCTCAAAGTGTAATCACAGACATACCCGAGAACTACATCAATAACCTGAACACGGAGTACGACTGGGGCTATAAAAACGTACGCAACCCGGAGGTGGGCGTGGCGTTCACAGGCGGGCAGATACCGCAAAACAGGGGCAAAGTGTTGGGCGGTTCGTCCACTTTGAACGCCGTTATCTTTAATCGGGGTAATCGTAAGGACTACGACAACTGGGCCCTACAGTATGGCGCTAAGGGCTGGTCCTATAAGGAGGTGTTACCGTATTTTATGCGCTTTGAAAACAATACCGACCCTCGCGTTGTGGCTGAGAGTCCCGGCTATCATAGCACTGAGGGTCCGGTGCAGATCAAGTCGTGGCATTTGCCCGAACCTATTATTCACCATCATCAAAGGGCGCTACATGAGCTAGGTCATAAGGATACCGATATTAATGGACCCCAACAGGTGGGGACATGTATTATGCAAGCGTTTCAGCGTACAGATGGTATGCGCTCCAGTACTGCAAATAGTTACCTGGATCCCAACCCCCACCCCCATAACCTTCATATACTGACGTACGCCCATGCCACCAAAATACTGTTGGGTGCCTTGAAAGGGCTGAGCGCTGAGGCCGTGGAGTTTCAAAAAGATGGCAAACTTCATAGAGTAAAGGCGCGCCGGGAGATTATTGTGAGCGCCGGTATGTTTTAGTAACTATTGTATAAAATGGTATTATTTTTGTTACTTTTCAACCATAGGCTCCATAAACACCCCTCAGCTCCTGATGCTGTCGGGAATCGGACCCAAAAAGCATCTGAAAGACTTGCGAATACCAGTGAAGGTGGACCTACCGGTGGGCGAGTTTCTCAAAGATCACCCGTCCCTCAGTCTACCGACGCTCGTGAAAGATGAACGCCTCGTCCACCCGTCCGCCGAACTAAATGTCCGACAAATGCATCAATTCTTTAGCAACGGTTCCGGACCTTTGACTGAATTCTTTCATTCCATCACTTATTTGAGTACTAAATATAATGACGACAAGGAGTTCCCAAACGTGGCCTTCGAGATCATAGGTTTGTGTACTGAATATATTTTTTTGTAAATAATTTATTACAAGTTTTATTTATTATATTTGTATACCTATTATAAGTACTCACAGAATATTCTGTATGTATTGTTTTCAGTGCAAAGATTTCCCGAAAGTCTTGAGACGCCGGTAGTGAACGACTACGAGGACCGCCAGAAGTGGAATAAATATTGGGAACCATTTCTCGGCAATTACTACCTATTCCTACAGCCCATACTCAAACGGGTCCGGAGCTACGGCACCGTACGCTTAGTCTCGGCCAACCCTTTTGACTACCCTCTCATTGATCCCAAATTCTTGGCCGACCCTAAAGACTATCAGGACTTCTTTGAGATCACACGATATGTACTGGAGTTCATCGAGAAGTCGTCGTTCAGTAAACATGTCGTTCCCCTCAAACCCATACCCGGCTGTAGCTTCTGTCGCCTAAAAGCTATACATAACTGCGACACGTATATCAAGTGCCTTATCAAACAGGTCACGCGTACGGGCTATCATCCCGTGGGAACGGCACGTATGGGTGCTATCGATAGGGATGATGTGGTGGTCGACCCAAAACTGCGGGTCAAAGGTGTGGCCCGACTGCGGGTTTGCGACTCTAGTATAATGCCGGAGCTCATCAATGGTAACACAAACGCCGCCTCTATTATGATCGGCGAAAAGTGCGCCGATTTAGTCAAACAGGACCATCGCGGAGGTGATTCCCATAGAGAGAGGGGTCGGGGTATAAGGGACAGGGATTTTGATAAAGAATATGATAAGGATTTTAAATCTCACACAAAATTAGAGGATCATGATGAAAAGCCCCTTAATGGTCGAGGTATCAGGTATAATGATATGTATCCTGATGATGAATATTCCGGTCCCGGGGTTGTCAACCCTAAAGCACAAAGGTATGCAAATGACAGGACTAAATTGGGTCGGGGTATAAGCGATAAGGAGTTTGATCCCCGCACAGAGTTAGGGGACAGATATGTTGATCCCAAGGCTGTAATGGGTCGAGGTATTAAGGATAATACATTCATTCCAGAGGAAGAATACACTGGTAAAAAGGATCTCAATGGGGACGGGTATGATAAGCCCCCGCCGTATAATAATGATGATAAGAAAGTGAAGCCTTTGCTCAAGAATCGTTATACCGGTTAATACTCAATGAATTAATAAATATATTGTTTTTCACAGTAAAAGAATTTAAAATAAGTTACTACTTAATCATTAGTAATGATAGCATAAACTAATAAAATAAAAGTTGTTTATTTCATATTAAAATTAAATGTTTTAATAAACAAAAATACTCACAATTTAACAAAAATAAATAGTTTTCAATCAGTAATAGTCTAACAAAATTATGTGCATTATTTGAATAATACTTTATAATGTAATCACAAAAATAAAAATAAATATTTTATGCGACTTTCATTCAATCATTGACTTTTTATATAACATTTTTATAATAATTATTATTTACACATCATTTTCGGCACAAAATCTTTTTGAATGTCTGCCGAAATGTGGGCACAAAATAGGCGTAAATGAATGGATTGAGTGTTGAGTTACACAAACCAAACCACACGAGAGTCTGATTGAGATGAGAGGGTGTCTCACGCCATAAATACACGGTGTATGCTATGAAAAAGGGTGACCAACACACCAGGAACACCGAGGTGATAATCAGCAAGGTCTTGGCCACTTTGCGTTCCCTTTCTTCCTTGAACTTCGTGCGCCTTCTCACCAGCGATAGGTTACGTACGGAACATATATTGGCGCACATAATAGGCTGATGAGCGGGCGGGTGAGCACCGTTACCATTAGTACTATTCTCGTCATCCATGTGCGACACCACAGATGTAGCATCCGGGTCCCCGCCGACCACTGCCGACAGTCTGTCCGACAGTTTGAGCTCATGTTTGCGTTTATGTCGAGAGCTCTTACGGGCGATCTGTTTGTCGGATAAGATATTTCAGTAAATTCTTGTTTATAGAAATAGTATAAAATTTCATAAAAGTAAAGATTATTATAATTTTTCTTTCATTAATCATAAATTTAGTGTATGTTTCCAAATTTCAAAGCTATTCTTAAATTACCGGTATTAAAAGTTTTAAAAACTTAATTACACTTTTAATACCTTGTTAAGCAGGTAATTGCAGTATTTTGTAAAATAAATGCCGTATTATTGTAATTAATTATTAATTCGAGCAATACTTATATTATATTAATAACAAATATTTTATAATTTATATTAAATCATCTGCGATATGAGAGAGAATGTATTAATAAACAATGTACCAAGTATAGAGTATTAACAGTACAGTACTATTCAAGCAATTTTAAAACATTATAAATAAAATCCATTTTACTTATAAATTTTGTTGTATTTTAATGCTATAAAAAATAATTTAATGCTAATCTATGGATAAAAGGCTTTTAAACAAATATAAAATTCTTTTAAGGTTATTATAACAGGAATATGTATATAATAAATAAACCTGTAATCCATTAGTTTCCAAATATAATCATTTAGTATTAAGAATAGAGAATGTGTTGACAGATATAAATATTTATATAATAGCAAAAATACTTTATTTAAAAGTCCTAAACATTATATTAATACAATTAACGCCATTAAGTTATGAAATGTTTAATAGCATATACAGTACTTATAGTAATATTAATATGTGTTTCGCAGAATATTCTCATTATTTCCGTGAATTATATAACTTATACCAAATAATACTAGTTTTATTTCAAGTAAAAAATGTTTTAAGTTATGATTTTTTGTTCACTAAAAGCCATTAAGTTTCTGATGATAATAGTATTACTAACACTAATAAACAGATTTAATTTATATAGAAATATGACTTAATATTATGAATAAATTCTCTCTCTCTCTCTCTCTCTCTCTCTCCTTCCCTCCAAATATTTGTTTTCATATTTCTAATTCCAATTATATTTTAAGTATTTCTATGATTAATAAGATTCTGTAAATAAATATTAAAAGCATTTAATATCAAAGGTTTATAAAGCAATTTGCTCATATGTAAATAGTGTAATAAAAGATATTATCGGTATTATTAATGCGTTATTAAACTATTAATAAAATAAATGCTTGCAAAATATAAAACTTTAATTAATATAATTTATTTATCTTCATTTTAACGTTCATTTTACCTTGAACTTAAAATTTAATTATTTTTATTGTTATTCCATCTAAAATTTTTATAATATTAAAATACGCTGGTAATATGTAAAATTGAATTTATTTTAAATTTATTTTATTTAGCAGAAAAATATTAATAATATTATTTGTCTAACAAACAAAAGTATTAATACTCATACAATATTTTTTAATTATACAAAGAATTCTTATTTTTGATATATATATATACCGTTTCGTGTTATGATGTATAATGGATATGTTAATCAAAAGTAGAAATATTATAATTTAATGGACACAGAACTCTCTCTCTCTCTCTCTCTCTCTCTCTCTCTGATTAATTTTTCCTAACAAATCAATATTTCTAACTAATATTTTAAAATAGATACTGTATTGAGATAATTGTATTATTTATTATACATTAAAAATAAGAATTCTTTGTATAATTAAAAAATATTGTATGAGTATTAATACTTTTGATTGTTAGACAAATAAAATAAATAAAATTAATTCAATTTTACATATTACCAGCATATTTAATATTATAACAATTTTAGATGATATAACAATAAAAATAATTCAATTTTAAGTTCAAGGTAAAATGAACGTTAAAATGAAGATAAATAAATTATATTAATTAAAGTTTTATATTTTTCAAGCATTTATTTTATTAATAGTTTAATAACGCATTAATAATACCGATAATATCATTTATTACACTATTTACATACGGGTAAATTGCTTTATAAACCTTTGATATTAAATGCTTTTAATATTTATTTACAGAATTTTATTAATCATAGAAATACTTAAAATATAATTGGAATTCGAAATATGAAAACAAATATTTAGAGGGAAGGAGAGAGAGAGAGAGAGAGAGAGAGAGAGAGAGAGAGAGAGAATTTATTCATAATATTAAGTCATATTTCTATATAAATTAAATCTGTTTATTAGTATTAGTAATACTATTTTCATCAGAAACTTAATGGCTTTTAGTGAACAAAAAATTATAACTTAAAACATTTTTTACTTGAAATAAAACTAGTATTATTTGGTATAAGTTATATAATTCACGGAATAATGAGAATATTCTGCGAAACACATATTAATATTACTATAAGTACTGTATATGCTATTAAACATTTCATAACTTAATGGCGTTAATAGTATTAATATAATGTTTAGGACTTTTAAATAAAGTACTTTTGCTTTTATATAAATATTTATATCTGTCAACACATTCTCTATTCTTAATACTAAATGATTATATTTGGAAACTAATGGATTACAGGTTTATTTATTATATACATATTCCTGTTATAATAACCTTAAAAGAATTTTATATTTGCTTAAAAGCCTTTTATCCATAGATTAGGATTCAATTATTTTTTATAGCATTAAAATACATCAAATTTATAAGTAAAATAGATTTTATGTATAATGTTTTAAAATTGTTTGAATAATACCGTACTGTATACTCTATACTTTGTACATGTTTTACATTCTCTCTCATATCACATATGATTTAATATAAATTATAAAATATTTTGGCACATATTAGAAATTAATAATTATTTTCATTTATTTAATTATTTTACTGCAATTAACACGGTATAAAAGTGTAATTAAGTTTTTAAAACTTTTCATACCGGTAATTTAAGAGTAGTTTTGAAATTTTGAAACATACACTACATTTATGATTAATGAGAGAAAAATTATAATAATATTTATTTTTATAAAGTTTTATAATATTTCTATAAACAACTAATTACTGAAATATCTTATCCGACAAACAGATCGCCCGTAAGAGCTCTCGACATAAACGCAAACATGAGCTCAAACTGTCGGACAGACTGTCGGCAGTGGTCGGCGGGGACCCGGATGCTACATCTGTGGTGTCGCACATGGATGACGAGAATAGTACTAATGGTAACGGCGCTCACCCGCCCGCTCACCAGCCTATTATGTGCGCCAATATATGTTCCGTACGTAACCTATCACTGGTGAGAAGGCGTACGAAGTTCAAGGAAGAAAGGGAACGCAAAGTGGCCAAGACCTTGCTGATTATCACCTCGGTGTTCCTGGTGTGTTGGTCACCCTTTTTCATAGCATACACCGTTTATATATGGCGTAAGACACCCTCTCATCTCAATGAGACTCTCGTGTGGTTTGGTTTGTGTAACTCAACACTCAATCCATTCATTTACGCCTATTTTGTGCCCACATTTCGGCAGACATTCAAAAAGATTTTGTGCCGAAAATGACGTGTAAATAATAATAATAATTATAAAAATGTTATATAAAAAGTCAATGATTGAATGAAAGTCGCATAAAATATTTATTTTTATTTTTGTGATTACATTATAAAGTATTATCCAAATAATGCACATAATTTTGTTAGACTATTACTGATTGAAAACTATTTATTTTTGTTAGATTGTGAGTATTTTTGTTTATTAAAACATTTAATTTTGTTATGAAATAAACAACTTTTATTTTATTAGTTTATGCTATCATTACTAATGATTAAGTAGTAACTTATTTGAAATTCTTTTACTGTGAAAAACAATATATTTATTAATTCATTGAGTATTAACCGGTATAACGATTCTTGAGCAAAGGCTTCACTTTCTTATCATCATTATTATACGGCGGGGGCTTATCATACCCGTTTTACTGTGAAAAACAATATATTTATTAATTCATTGAGTATTAACCGGTATAACGATTCTTGAGCAAAGGCTTCACTTTCTTATCATCATTATTATACGGCGGGGGCTTATCATACCCGTCCCCATTGTGATCCTTTTTACCAGTGTATTCTTCCTCTGGAATGAATGTATTATCCTTAATACCTCGACCCATTACAGCCTTGGGATCAACATATCTGTCCTCTAACTCTGTGCGGGGATCAAACTCCTTATCCCGACCCCGATCCAATTTAGTCCTGTCATTTGCATACCCATGCGCTTTAGGGTTGACAATCCCGGGACCGGAATATTCATCATCAGGATACATATCATTATACCTGATACCTCGACCATTAAGGGGCTTTTCATCAGGATCCTCTAATTTTGTGTGAGATTTAAAATCCTTATCATATCCTTTATCAAAATCCCTGTCCCTTATACCCCGACCCCTAT